ACCCGCTTGCCAATGTGGTATCGACTGCAAACTTGGTAGACTTATGTCATACTGATGACAATACTATATTCTATCATTAGAATAAAAATAAAAAATTTAAACATTCTTTTTAATTTGTTATGTTTCGGCTTGGGTCTAATTGTCCACGGTCAACTGACGTTGGCTGTACGTTGTGGCAAGTTTCGGGGCCACTTCCTGGAGTCGTGGAGTTCTTCCATTACTAGTACATTTCATAAAAGCGTTTAAAAAAAAAGTTGTTTTAAATATTACTTATTTTTAGTCTGTTGATGGTCGGTGATGCGGCAATCGACTCATCTCGACGAGCTGTACACGATGCGCTATTCAAAGTTGAAATTTTCGACAACGGATTTTTTTAATGCTGTTTGGCGTTTCGACATTGCGGAGTGGCACTGATTTCGGATTGACTGTGGTTACCCCAGTCGCGGAGTGAAGTACACCCCTGGAAAAACATAGTGTCCCAGAAGTAAAACATTTAATTGCCTCGGCTGTTTTGTTTTATTTGGTGCCCTGGGGTACCGCCATGAGGATCATTTGGTAGAAGTTGATCGAGAACCATCGTGTGTGTTTTTTGATGAGGCACGGTGTGTACATTTCTCGTAAGGCTTTGGGGGACGAGAATGCACGGGTGGAGATTGTGTACGTCGGTTTAATCAGGAACGGAACTGCCTTTATTCATAGTCTACACGAGGGCTGGCATGGTCGTTATATTTACACTTGTGATGTCTGAAGGGAACGCGACTGATACGTACTTGGTGCATTCATACGATGAGACCCTCCCCCCTCGTTCTCATTGTTCAGTTATTATGAATAATAATAATATAATAATACAGTTAGTGACGTATCCAGGAAAGACAACGTGAGTCGTGTGGTTTGTTCTCGGTAAAGTCCTGATGCTGCTGCATTGCGTTTTGATTTTAAGATGTTAACACCCAAATTATTTAAGTGGGAGGATGGCGATGATGATGATAGTGGTGGTGATGGTAGTCATGGAAGTGATGATGGTCGTGGTATTGATGATGATGGTATTGATAATGGTGGTGATGGTAGTGGTGGTCTAGTAGTGGTAGTGATTGATGTTAGTGATGATGATGGTATTGATGATGATGGTATTGATGATGATGATGGTGGTGATGGTAGTGGTGGTCTAGTAGTGGTAGTAATTGATGGTATTGATGATGATGGTATTGATGATGATGGTATTGATGATGATGGTGGTGATGGAGGGGGAAGACGTGTAGTGGTTAGCGCGCTGCGCTATTCGGCGACCCGACTTCGATTCCCGCACTCACGGCCAACACCGGTGACGAATTATCTGAACCGGTTCACCGGCCATCCCCTAGGTCGACTCAGCCTCAAGACGAGTACCCGGTGTGATGTCTAAACGTTGCACACTGGAGAGACAAAGGCGGACGGGCGTGGTGCTGGTGACCCACAACGCCCTCGTGCGCCGTGCCAGCCTTCACAGGGGTTCAATTCGCGAACATCACAGCCCATTTGGAGGCTATACGGGCGGGGGGGGGGTCTTTGTTTTTGGTGATAGGGGCCGTCCATAAATGACGTCACGCACCTAGGGGGGGGGGGGTCAGACATTTGTGACGATGTGTGACGAGGGGGGGGGGGGGGTTGAGAAATGTGTCATCACATCAAAATGCGCAACTTTAAATAATTAAATAGACTTGTAATAAATGTTTTGTCCTACAACATCAGAGTGCAGCGCCACGTTAAATACGCACTACAATGACAATAGTTTAAAGCGATTTGAAGCATGTTAGATTTTTTTGTGCGGGGGGGGGGGGGGGGCAGAGCTTTGTGACGTCATATTAGAGGGGGGGTCTGACTTTTTTTGACGCCGTGTGACGAAGGAGAGGGGGGGGTCAAAAATCGTCCAAAATCGCGTGACGTCATTTATGGACGGCCCCATGGCATCAGTGGTGGCAGTGTTAGTGGTCGTGATGATGGTGGTGGGAGTGCTTGTTGATGGGGGGAGGGGTGTAGCGGATAGCGCGCAGTGCTTCGAGCCCGGAGACCCGGCCAACACCAGTGGCGATTATCTGAAGCGGTCCCGGGCCTACCCTAAGGTCGACTCAGCCTCAAAACGAGTAGCTGGTGCGGTGTCTAAACGTTCGCCACTTGGGAGACAAAGGCGGACGGCCGTGCCGGCCTTCATAGGGGGGTGCGCTGCTCGCGAACAGCAAACTAGCCCCAGCAGCCTGTTTGGAGGCTATACAGGGGGCTCTTAAGTGTTGGTGGTGCTGTTGGTAGCGGTTGGTGGTGGTCGTGATGGTAGTGGTTGGTGGTGGTGATGGTAGTGGTGGTGATGGTAGCGGTGGTGATGGTAGCAGTGGTGGTGATGGTAGTGGTTGGTGGTGGTGATGGTAGTGGTTGGTGGTGGTGATGGTAGTGGTGGTGATGGTAGTGGTGGTGATGGTAGTGGTGGTGGTGATGGCAGTGGTGGTGATGGTAGTGGTGGTGGTGATGGCAGTGGTGGTGATGGTAGTGGTGATGGCAGTGGTGGTGATGGTAGTGGTGATGGTGATGGTAGTGGTGGTGGTGATGGCAGTGGTGGTGATGGTAGTGGTGGTGGTGATGGCAGTGGTGGTGATGGCAGTGGTGGTGATGGTAGTGGTGATGATGGTTGCGATTGGTGGTGGTGATGGTGTTGGTAGTGGTGATGGTAGCGGTGGTGATGGTAGTGGTTGGTGGTGGTGATGGTGGTGGTGATGGCAGTGGTGGTGATGGCAGTGGTGGTGATGGTAGTGGTGGTCGTGATGGTAGTGGTGATGGCAGTGGTGGTGATGGTAGTGGTAGTAGTGGTGGTGGTGATGGTAGTGGTGATGGCAGTGGTGGTGATGGTAGTGGTGGTGGTAGTGATGGCAGTGGTGGTGATGGTAGTGGTGGTGATGGTGGTGGTGATGGTAGTGGTGATGGCAGTGGTGGTGATGGTAGCGGTTGGTGATGGTGATGGCAGTGATGGTGGTGATGGCAGTGACGGCGGTGATGGCAGTATTGGTAGTGATGATGGTGGTGACGGCAGTATTGGTAGTAATGATGGTGGTGGTGGCAGTATTGGTAGTGATGATGGTGGTGGTGGCAGTGATGGTAGTGATGGTAGTGATGGCAGTATTGGTAGTAATGATGGTGGTGGTGGCAGTATTGGTAGTGATGATGGTGGTGATGGTGGCAGTATTCGTAGTGATGATGGTGGTGGTGGCAGTATTGGTAGTGATGGTGGTGGTGGCAGTATTGGTAGTGGTGGTGGTGGCAGTATTGGTAGTGATGGTGGCAGTGATGGTGGTGGTGGCAGTATTGGTAGTGATGGTGATGATGGTGGCAGTATTGGTAGTGGTGGTGGCAGTATTGGTAGTGATGGTGGTGGTGGCAGTATTGGTAGTGGTGGCAGTATTGGTAGTGATGGTGGTGGTGATGGCAGTATTGGTAGTGATGGTGGTGGTGGCAGTATTGGTAGTGATGGTGGTGGTGGTAGTATTGGTAGTGATGGTGGTGGTGATGGCAGTATTGGTAGTGATGGTGGTGGTGGCAGTATTGGTAGTGATGGTGGTGGCAGTATTGGTAGTGATGATGGTGGTGATGGCAGTATTGGTAGTGATGATGGTGGTGGCAGTATTGGTAGTGATGATGGTGGTGGTGGCAGTATTGGTAGTGATGATGGTGGTGACGGCAGTATTGGTAGTGATGATGGTGGTGATGGCAGTATTGGTAGTGATGATGGTGGTGGTGGCAGTTCGTAGTCGCGGTGACGACGGCGACGCCCGTTGGGGTGTCGCGGAAGTGAAGGCGCCGCGTGACGCGCTTTCCCAGCAGCCGGCGATGACGTCGCTCATGACTCATTGACAGAAAGCGCTTCTCCGTAGCAGCTGTTTGTTTCACTTCGCGTGCGCCGAACTGGATCCCTCCTCCCCCCGGGCGCTAAATCCCCCACCTCCCCGACTCCCTCCAGGTGATGTGGCCAGAACCCAAGCCCGGCCGCCTTTGTCTCCCCAACTAGCTGATTTCGTTTGTTTTTGTTGGTTTCACACACACACACCGTACCAAGTACTCGTTTGAGGGCTGAGTCGACCTAGGGGTGAGCCACATTTTAATCTGGAGAATACGGTAACGTCTCCCCCTCCTCCACCCCCAACAAAGTTCGAACAGCACAGCAATGCTCACAACGCACAGGCGTTTAACGCGTGCGGCTCCGTGAGAATTACAATTGTGAATACGATGGGGGGGGTTAGCCTTAATCCAGCAGTGGATTGACCATGGCTGATGATGATGATGAGCGGCGGTTTAGGGAGGCGTACATCCAGCAGTGGACCGAGCATGGCCGTTGCTCCTTCGTTGGTGGCGCTATACGAGAGGAAACCCGAAGCAGAAGCTCAGGTGACCTCAGTTGTTCAAGGCCTCCCGGATTCATCAACATCAAATATCAGAAGAAAAAAAAATATCAGCTCAAATTTCAAGTCCTAATCAACATAACGAGGCGGGCACCACATAAATCAAGCAATGCATCTCTCGCCCGTCACATTTCGCAACGCACATCATTTATTTTTATTTTCGGGGGTATTAAAATAATAGTAAAAGAACACATTCCCGGCAACGGGTGAAGTTAGACGCGATCGCACGGTGCTGCTTCTGCGGCCGTCTGGAACGCTCCTCCGATGTTAGGGGAAACCACTGGACTTTCAAAATAGATCGAAAAAATAATGTATTTAGAACTGCTCTTTGCGTGTTCAGTTTGGTGTCCATTACTCCATCCGGCTGACTACGAAACGGTTCGAAATAAGTTCAACGCACGCAAATTACGTACGGGCGTGCGTGCAATATACACACGCGCACACACGCGCCACTGCTGATGCTGCAGCTGCTGCTGCTGCTGCTTGATGACGGTGCTGATGATAAGCTGAAAGCAGAACTAGAAAGCGCTCGTCCGTGGAGGCGGAGTGAGCCCGGAATTGACTGCCTTCCACGCGGAGGGGGGGAGGTGATGGGTAGAGCGGTGGTGGGAGGTTTACTCAGCGCCGTATATAAAGCCGGTGGCTCAACCGTCGGCAGCTCGCAGATTTTACACGAGACGAGGGGCATTTTTGGCTCGCACAGAAAGAGCCAGAATCAACCTCCAACAACGTCTCATCAACGTCTCCTGAACGGTAAATACTTAATGTTTTATATATAGTTGTGTGTGCGCTGAAGTGTGTGTGTGTTGTGTGTGGAGCGGTAGTGTAGCGGTTAGCGCGCTGCGCTATGAAACCGGCGACCCGGGTTCGTATTCCCGCTCGTGGCCATCACCAGTGACGATTATCTGAACCGGTCCTGGGCCTCCCCTAGGTCGACTCAGCCTGAAATGACTACCTGGTGCGGTGTGTAAACATCGCCACTGGGGAGACAAAGGCGGCCGGGCGTGGTGCTAGCGTTCATAGGTGCTCGCTAACAGCACTTGCCCCTACAGTCTTTGAAGGCTATACGGGGGATCTTTGTCTTTGGTGGGGAGCGGTGGCGCAGTGGTGTGAGCACTGCGCGACAACCATTGAGTTGCAGTAAACCCGGCTACCATCAGGGGCGAGGTGTGTGTCGAAACCGATTCGTGGAACTACAAATGAGTGGCGTGGGGTCGATTCAGTCCAGGGCTGAACGATTTGGGGAAAAAATCTAATTGGGATTTTTCTGACAGATATTGCGATTAAAATGTTTAAAGTCAAGCTTCAGTTCAATATTCACGCGTGTAATAGATTTAAAACATGTGATGGAGCATTATCACACGATACCATCAAAATATGAACTGCTCTATATATTCTAATGCAAGGATGAGAACTTAAAAGATATGCATTGCTTCCAACATGTATTTATTTAAATGTTTTAATTGAAATAGAACAATCAAAAATAAAACAATTGTTAAGTTAAAAATTAATAAAGTTATAACAATAAAAAAAGTTAACAATTCCAATAAGAAAGTAACAGGACGTAAAAAATCGCAGCCTTTGCGATTTGTTTTAGATTTCGATTTGAAATCAATTAATCATTGAGCCTTAATTCAGCCCTCTTGAGTGAGGATGGGGAGACAAAGACGGCCGGGGCTTTCTGCTGACCACACCAACCTGCCCGTTCTTAATGGGTGCTCGCTCGCTAAGAGCACTTGCCCCATCGGCTATACGGGGGAACTTTGCCCCGTGTATTGCGTGCGCGCGTGTCAGTCGCTCGGTAATGATGCACACCGCAGGGCACGGTGTTAACTCGCCACTGAGCGAGCCTCTGAGCGAGGAAGTGAAGGTTCGATCGGGGTCTCGTTCATTCATCTGTGCCAGGGGTAGGGAACCGGCGGCTCTGTTTAAAAGGACTGATTCGCGACGTTGCGCGTTAAAGAACTACCGTCTCGTGGTCACCACGTGGCTTTTGAAATATATTTGGAGGGTTTTTTTCTTTGTTACCGTTATTTTACTGAACCTATGCGGAGAAACACGATAAATCGTAACTCATAGACAGAAGAGGTCAGGCTTGACTTAAAGCTTTCGTGACTGCAGGAATTCGTATTCTTGATGAACGAACTCTTGTGTTGCGATCGAAACGTCGTGGTTTTTTTGTTATTTTCTTTGAACCTATCTACGTGACATTACCGAAAGACCCAAAGAGTGGGTATCGCTTTGACAAGTCTTCCACCCGCTGTTAAGCAGAAAGGTAATGGTGCCATTAGACGTCGCTGGGAGGGGAAGTGGGGTTGTTGGTGTCTGTACGGGAATCGCAAACCCTGAATATGGTCCCGGCTTTTATAATGCCGCCACGTTTGCTCGGGGAAACGGCCTCTCTCTCCCGAGGCCCTTCTCAAGGAGGCTCTTGGCGCCATTGGGGGCTGTTTGGCTAAATTCCATTCACGAGCGATTTGTCTTCACGCTGAAATGAAATCGGGAGAACGGGAGTATCCGGAGAAAACCCATCGTGGAAAATATAAATTGGAGGGAGGGGTTGGGGGAGAGAGGGGGGGGGGGGGTAACGCTTCAAGCCCCGCACAGATGGATTCCATTCTATTTGCTGTCCAGTCATTGCCCTTCGCAGGCCATCGAGATACATCTTTTCGCAGTTTCACAAGTTTACGAGATCCATAACAGCGACAAAAAAAAAATCGTAAATCCTCCCACGAATTATCGTCAAGGCCCTACTTGCTACCTTTACCGGCGTCGTAAAGCGGATGTCATCGGCGCCCACACATTGCTCGTTGACACAGCCAAACGTTGACAAATGGTCAACGACTCTCTGTCGGTGTCTACGAGTCACGTCTCAAAGACCGTCAGTGAGCGGCGGCCTTCCTTCCGTTTAGCTCTGGGCATCTGTTGAAATACCAATTTTTTTTCATTTTCTAGGCTCGTCGGATATCTTGAGATCTCGCCACGTTAAACGCAAATCAACGTCACAATCAAATGTTTGCGTAAGGTGACTTGTACCGCCCGTTTGTACATCCACTACCGAATGAAGGCATTCCCCCCGCCCCACCATGCTGGTCAATGCGCGTTGGCGAAGGGGGATGAGAGGGCTGTGGGGGGGGGGCTCAGGGCAGGTTCAGATATCACTCGCCACGGGTATTAGCCGTAGCCGGGAATCGAACTCAAGTCGTCTTGCGCCGCAGGTGCAACCGTTGTCCATTTGTGTGCTTAGTTATTTATTTATCTATATTCAGCGGGTGTGCAAACGGTGTCGCAATGGTTTACCCCACTGCCTCCTATGAACCCTACAAACCAGGTTCGATTCCCAGCTTACGGTTAAACATCGAGCGGCAAGCGATTTGCGAAATACGGGACGGCCCTAGACTAATTCGTCCCTGTCTTTCGCCTTCAAAGACCCCCCCCCACTTCCAACCCCCTGTGTAGCCTGTTGGGACAAGTGCTGTGAAGCGAGTAGCAACCCATGAAGGCGGGCACGGCACGCGAGGTGAATGGGTGCTCAAGCATCACGCCACAACCTATCAAGTGCCGTCACAGTCAACAACGACGCCGCGTTGTTCAAAGCCCTCTCGGTCACGCCAGTGGATTTGGACGAACGCGTCGGGCGGGGAATTGTTCCGCTCCAGAGCGAACACCGGGGCGGGATTCGTTGTAATCGAGGGGGTCGGCCAAGGAGATATTCCCGTAGCCAGAGAGCCCCCCCCCCCGCCACCAGCCCCTTCGAGAGAGATCCCTCCAGCGGGAAGGAGGCGCGTCCGCTGGCAGTGGCGTGAGCTGGCAATTTCGGCGCCCGCGCCTTTAACCGTTCGGGCTGACAACAGCTGGCGGGGAGTTCGTTCTTGGGAGATGAGCAAGGGGCCTGCAAGTCTCCTCCGTCTCCTCCGTCTCCTGTCCAACCCGCACGTTGTGGGTCTTTTCCCAATATTCTGCACAGGCCGCCTCTTCCGGCGTTGCCATTGCCTAAATCTCGAGGAAGCGCGCTGTGGTGCCGTAGAGGAATCTCAGGAGGTGGTCCGTGGGTTCGCTCCGCTCCCCGACAATCACATTGTTGGGTTTGTGCAGAAGCCCCATGGGTTCCATGACAGAGTTGGGGCTCTAAGGGTACATTCAGTACCGACGCCGGCGTGCCCTGTGCTCGCGAGGACAAAAAGTGCACTTCCAGAGGGAGGGGTTGCCCCCCCTGCCCCCCCCCCCCCCCCTCGTTGCCCCGCCCTTCCCCCGGGTTGCCCCCCACTCCTTTGCTTTGTCCACACAAGCACTATACGCCTTGGCACGCAACATGTGCCAGCAATATTGGCTACATTTCACTTGAAATGTAAAAAAAATAACCAGTTCATCTAGTGGGGTATAATTTGTGTGTAGGCATGTTGAACTTCTTTTTGCCACCGTACGTTGCCATCCGTGCAAATCGGAGGTGCGGGTGCGAGAACAAACTAAACGCACGTGAAGTAGTTATGAATAAATTAGTTTTAGATGATTTGAAAGTCCATACAGCCTCCAGTGGCTTCCTAACATCGGAAGAGAAGAGCGTTCCAGACGGTATGGCATCACGTCGATGGCCTTAGCCATGCATACGCCCATTAAAGCAAATACAACGGTCGCCATAAACGTTTTTAAAATGTAATTCTCCCATGCTCTTGTGTGCAGTCTTGCAAACCGTTATTGACTCTAAATCCCTCTGGCCTCTCTGTTTTATATGCTCTGAAGAAGGGCCCATTGCTGCCTAAAACGTCACCGATTATCCGTATAATTTTCTTTCGAGGCCACAGAGTTATTGACGTTCTAAGTGTCAACAATTGTGGCAACAATGGGGGGGGGGGGCACTTATGGCAGGCTTCAGTTGAGTTGAACTGCGTTCGAATAACTATTTTAGGTCACCTTCATCTGTGCTGGCTGAGTACAACAAAGCGCCAACAAAATAAAATCCCCCTTACGATGAAAGTAATTGTGAAATACATACACATCGGCGAGAAACTCAATGTCGTGATTTTTGTCGTGAAATGAATCCTATGCCGTTGAAGCAACTGATCGCTGCACGGTGCCCCTCCCCCCGTAGCTTTCGGATGAACATATAAACAGATGCTTTGGGCAGGGTTCTGTGTAAATAAAGCATGAGTAAGAGTGTAAATGTTTGTTTTGTGTTTGCGAACAAACTTTGCCCTACCGGCAGCCGCTTGCTTTGCACGGTTAGCATCTTCCGTCGTGTCACTTGCTTGGCCAAGATTGAGTCCAGGTGGCTACTCTAATCTCCATGGTCCATCCACACACCAAGCAGACAACAGCAATCGATAACAACAAAAGTCTCGGCGCTTTCCTTGCTGGAATGAGACACTGAGTGGCACATTGGTGCTTGTCTCCTGGCCATAGGCCTTGCAGAGCCAGTTGGTGGAAATTCTGCATATCCTCAGCCACCCAGGCCCGAAATCATCCATTACGTCGCGTTGAGCGGCGCTTGCTAGAATCTGCCTTGCAAGATACCCGACTCAGAGGGCGTCTATCCGCTGTAAATAGAAAATAATTGATACGCCTTTGGCCAAACCACCCAGAATGCACATGGTCTCATCAGACCTCGCAAACTGTGCAGAACTGAGCCTGGATAGCGCCCAATTACTCCGTACATGGCGAGTTGCAATCACAGGCCATGAGCATGGGGCGAGGAGTCGAGATCACGGATGACTGCGGGGAAGGGAGTTCCAGACTATGGAGGTAGCAAGGGATGAGGAGTGAACTCCCCCTGAGCGGAGCTTAGATTCGAAATTCTGCTGGTGTAGAGAGGCGGGAAGCGTGAGATGAGAGGGGAGAGGTAGGAGGGTGCGCAGAGGGGGAGTAAAGTGAGATGAGAGGGGAGAGGTAGGAGAGTGCGCAGAGGGGAGTAAAGTGAGATGAGAGGGGAGAGGTAGGAGAGTGCGTGGAGGGGCGCAGATTGACATGAGAGGGGAGAGGTAGTAGAGTGCGTGGGGAGGGCAGAGTAGCTTGGGTTAATCAGGACAAGTCAATAGGTGTTCGGTGGCCCGGGGTGAAATACCAAATGAGGCCTCGATTACCTTTTCTGAGGCCCCATCAGAACCGAGACAGCCTGGAGCAGAAGGAGACAGGCGTAGGCAGAGTGAGGAAGGGGGTGGGGTAAAGAGCCATAGTTTAATTAAGGGCAGCATTCGGATTTTGAGAATGCAAATTTAAAAAGGTCATACAAAATCGCAGGGCGGACAAACTCTGCGACGTTTATACTCTTTGGTTTTTTCGGTAAGGTCACGTAGGTAAGAAATTTAATCAAATAAATGAAAACAACTAAATTAAATCACGACGTTTCGGGCGCAACACAAGCGTCCTTCTTCAGGTGGGGACAACGTAGCGAAAGCACAACCGCTTAAGTGTGTCTGCGATGTTTGTTTTTCACCATCGCACGGAGGTATGGAAGGGTTCGGGGGCATCGTGGGTGACGGGTTAAGTCGGCTTTGCTCCGCGTCGCTTCCGCGGGTCATTGCATTGCAGAAGTGAAGAGTTTCACTTTGTGAAATGGTGAAGTCATCGTTCGCACATGGGAGACGTTCCACACATGGAACCGGTGCTGCCAGTACATCGTTCACGATTAAGGTTGCGGTGAGCAGACACTGACGTTCGCGTAGTCACGCGAATGTTTCGCAGCGAACCTAACAAGTGCATTAATCGCAGATACAAACGTTGCAGAGTACGGTCAAATACTCCCCCCTCCCTCGCCACGCGGGTCATGGCAGGGAGGGGGGATTGACAAAAGGATTGTGCATGTGGCAAGTGGACAAAATCATCATCAGCTATGTGACAGGTCTACAAATATTCTTGGCTCTTTCGGTAAAGTCACGTAGAAGGGAAATAATAAAATAATACAAATTTAAAAAAAATTTCTCACGTTTCGACTGCAACACAAGCAATCATCATCAGGTGTGAAATCCACAGCAAGAACATTTGAAAAAAAAATTATTGCTGTGGATTTCATCTGATGATTGCTTGCGTTGCAGTCGAAACGTCGTGAGAATTTTTATTGGTTTTTAATTTTTTTAATTGTATTATGTCCCTTCTACGTGACTTTACCGAAAGAACCAAGAATATGAATCCCTGCAGTCACGAAAGCTTTAAATAAAAGGTCTCCAAATGTTTTTTTTTTAACGGAAGGCCAATACCGTAATTGCGTTTTCTATTTTATTTTGCGTCAAACCAACCAGCCTTTAACAACAATTGCTTGCCGAGATGTTATCTGGGGACCCCCATGGCAAGTAACCGCGGCATTCACATGCAGGGCCGTCCACTCTCTAACGCCAGCTCCTTCTACTCCTTTGTCTTGCAGACCACCGGCATATCGGTGCCTCGGCCGCTCAAACATAGAGAGCAGCCCTCGCACCCCTCGCCGAACAAAAGCAAGCGTACCCACCGGACAATCCGCTAAGCCGCTGTCGGCCGAGCGCCCCACGATCGTGCGGCCGCCTCGGAAGAACCGATAAAACAACAGCAACGTCTCGCCGCACGCGGACCCACATCGCCGCTGACCATGCGCACGACCGACTTCTTCAACGTGCCTCTCTCCTCGGCCGCCAACCCGGGGCCCGTCAACACCTCCACCTTGGGGCCCGCCAAGGTCCCGCGGAGGAACGCGCTCGCCCTGGACGCCGCCAGCGACGAGCCACCGCCGGCCTCCCAGCGGACGCACTTTCTGACGTTCGCGTCGGAGGCCGCCTTCCTGACGGTGCGTCGCAGCTGGCTGAGCCTCCTCGAGAGCGGCTTCTACTGGGGCCCGCTGAGCCAGGCCCGCGCCGCCGCCGAGCTCGGGGGCCAGGAGGACGGCACCTTCCTGGTGCGCAACAGCGCCGACTCGCGCCACCTCTACACGCTGAGCGTGCAGACGCCGCTCGGCGCCGCCAACGTGCGCATCAAGTTCGACGGCGGCGCCTTCTACCTGGAGACGGAGCGCGAGCTCGAGGTGAGCGCGCCCAAGTTCGAGTGCATCATCAGCCTGCTCCAGTACTACATGCGGCGCACGGCCGCAGAGGAGGAGGAGGAGGAGGAAGAAGAGGAGCGGCGGACGAGGAGCGGGGGTTGCGGCGGGGCAGCGTCGCCGAGGAGATCCAGGGGCGTGCCCCTGAGGCTGCGGCGGCCCCTCGGGAGGTCGCGCCGCCCGCCCAGGCTCGACCACTGCTGCAGGAGGACGCTGAGCGCCTGCTGCGCTCAGTCCGGGAGCAACTCGGCACTTGAGGGGCTGCCACTGCCGAGCAAACTCAAGGAGTTCCTCGCCGTGTACCCCTTCCAGCTGTGAAGGCTTTCCCGTCGATCGCCGGAGGCGGCGTTTTGGACCACCGTGGCTTACCATCACGTCGCCACTTATAGCAGCCAAATGCTCTAAACGTCCATCGATTCACATTCCTAACGTGCAGGGAAAAAACTGAAGGATCCCCGAGAAAAGTCCATACCACCACGGCGAGAGAGAGACGCATCAGGGTGGGGATGGAAACCCACGACCTCGCGTATACCAGGCGAAGTAGTTAACATCTCGCGCCTCCGTGAGCGACGACTCCTGAAGCCACCCGATCGCAACATGAACTCGTAAACAGGATCAGAATCTTTATTGAGACTGGAAAGATGCCCATTGAACGCTCCTGCACTCCCGCGTCCCGCCGTGCGAAAGCAGACGTCGGTCGCGGTCACACGGGCCTCTATTTATTTGCTGTAATATTTTTTGTACATGTTACACGATGTGTTTCGTTTCTATATATGTATAATATCTATTTTTTGTAACAATAAACTGTTGATATGACAGATCGGTCACGTCAGGGTTGTACAATAAAACTTCCCGTTACCGATGGACATTTTGCGGGGCGTCGGCAAATTTCTCTTGAGATGTCAAGACAAAGCGATGTGTCCAAAAGTGGAGCTTCGACAATTGCGCAGATTGGTCGATAAACATCGGTCCTCTGGTCCTCCAGAAGCTGGCGATCCACGCCTCAAATTGCGTGCGCGTGAGAGAGATGGGTGGTGCTCGACATCGTAAAAATACCGGTGCACCCCACGGAACGGTTGTTCACGTCAGGCGAGCCTAGCCGCCGCTAAGAGTCTTCGACGTTTCGCCGCCGCGCCCTACTTAAGGATGGAACGGCGACGGGTGCGATATTCGACGATTCGTCGTCGTATCGCTGTGGGGGGGGGAGGTTAATGGTTACGCCCTCAAGGTAGCCGTTGGCTACCGAGTACAAAGTGTGCCGCAGCTGATTGTTAACGGACACGTTGTTCACAAACTGCTGCCATCATCACCGTCATCCTTGTTCTGAACTTCACTTTTTTGCCAGTGAAATACCTCCACGATGACTATCTCGGTTTGTAATAAAGAGTTGAATAGTTGACCAAACGCCGACTTACTGCTGTCGTTGTGTGAACGAAAGCCGCGTGTATTTACACAACAACACTCTGCTGACAATAAAAGTGGAAATCGGGCCACCGGGTTAGCAGCGCATCGCGCTAACCGCTGCGCCACCGCTCCCCACATGAGAATGACACCGAACCACAAAGATAAAGAGATCGCCCGTTTAGCCTTAACAGACTGTAGGGTCAAGTGCTGTTAGAGAGCACCAATATAGGCCGGCACGGCACACAAGGGGGTGGGTGGTCAACACCACGCCCGGCCGCCTTTGCCTCCCTAGTGACGATGTTTACACATCACAGCAGGTACTAATTTGAGGCTGAGTCGACCTAGGGGAGGCCCAGGACCAGATAATCGTCACTGGTGTTGGCCGTGGGCGGGAATCGAACCCGGGTCGCCAGGCTCATTGCGCAGCGTGCTAACCGCTGCACTACCGCTCCCCACACCGATACACAAAGACAAAGATCCCCCGTATAGCCTTAACAGACTGTAGGGGCAAGTGCTGTTAGCGAGCACTCATGAAGGCCGGAACGGTACACAAGGGGATGGGTGGCCAGCACCACGCCCGACCGCCTTTGTCTCCCTAGCGGCGATGTTTACACACCGCACCAGATACTCATTTGAGGCTGAGTCGACCTAGGGGAGGCCCAGGATCGGTTCAGATAATCGTCACTGTGGTGTTTGCCGTGAGCGGGAATCGAACCCGGGTCGCCAGGTTCATTGCGCAGTGCGCTAACCGCTACACTACCGCTCCCCACACCGATACAACAACAACCGCCATTCGCCACTAAGTGGCGGTGACGTCACCACGACGCTTGTGCCAGGCCATGTGCACCTTGAGGCCACGTGAAGTGTCGATACACACACACTCACACACGCGCGTTCTCCCGTGATCACGTGGATTTTTCTGCGGGTCCTCCGGTTTGTCCCTTCACATTTAGAAACACGCATGTGGATTATTTGGCTGCTGCGATACATTGCCACGTGGTAAGCCACTTCGTTCAGCTATCGTCTGTGGCCAGGTCCCTCGCCATCGAGCTCAGTGGGCCTTACCTGGTAAAATAAAAAATAGTTTAGTTTTTTTCTTCTTGGTTCTTTCGGTAAAGTCACGCAGAAGGGAAATAATAAAATAATAAAACATAATAAAATACAATTCTCACGTTTCGGCTACAACGCAAGCACCTGAGGACGGCTGCTTGCGTTGTAGCCGAAACGTCGTGATAATTATTTTAAAATGTTTTTTTTATTATTATTTTATTATTTCCCTTCTACGTGACTTTACCGAAAGAACCAAGAAGATGAATCCCTGCAGTCACGAAAGCTTTACATCGAAGTTTAGTTTTTATAAACACACAGGCCATTTCTGGCTCTGCAAAGGGACGTGTCCATTGCTCACCATCACCGAGGTGACGAGTTCACACCATCGACAGTTCTCGTCCACTATGACCACGAGAAGCCGTGGCGATGAAGAGGTGCGACTAGATCGAGCATTGCGGCATTGCAGGAACATGAGGGATGGCGGCGTGGGGAGGGCTTCATCCAACAGCGGAGAGACAGGAGCAAATGATGAGGTACGTACAAGTAGGTTGAACTTCTTTTGCGCCGAAGGTAGCCAAGCCGTGCGAATCGGAGGTGCGGTGGAAGGGGAACAAACGAAACACTTGATGACGATCCCGATGATTTTGACGACAGTGACATTGTTGATACTGATTTGCACGAGGTTCTTCAGAGCTAGCTTCGCTCTTAAATAAATAAATAGTTGATGGTCTCAGCCCAGTCACCAACGGCTGTCACCATAAATACGGAACAATAAGAGTGACAAAACTGGTCACCAATGACTGCACGTCAAAATGCATCACATTACAACTATCATATGATTAGCTGTGAAAAATGTTTAACGCTTAGTTAGACATGCATGGCGTCGTTCGTGCAAATTGCATCTCACAACCGCTGCGGAACCACAGACGATGGGGGAAGCCAGCAGCCAGCTGGTGTGCCGGTGCTACCAACATTGGCCCAAGCTCTGCAGTCCTCCACATATACGCGACGCTCTCGGTCGATTACGGAGCGTTCATGCGTGTTGGAGGAAACCAGAGTTCCCGGAGAAGCACCCACACTTGCGGGGAGGGGGGCCGGTGGAGGACAACACTCTACCCCACACAGAGGTGGACGGATTGACGTTGCTGAAATGAGTGGGGTATCTGTAAATGGGTCGCCTCTGTATCACTTTTTGTCACCGGGGCACGAGACGGCGGTTATAGTCCAGGCTGTTTCCAGCGAGTCGTCACACGAATGGTGCCGATGGGTGATCGCGCGGAACGCGGTGAGAGCGTGCGCCAGCTCGCCTTCATGGCCCGTGAAATTCCTGCACCATTAAAAGTAGAAATCTCAAACCGTTGGCATCCACAGAGTTGAATGCCACCTTCCCACTTCAATCGTTTGCCGGCAGCATTTCAGATGATTGCCAGAAGGGCTCGTAAAGCCCGCTGTCTGGCTCGCTCGCCAGCCCCGACACGAACATGTAAACGTTGGCGACAAATTCCCGGCCAGATGAAAGAAGTGTCCGTTTGTGTCTATGCGTCTCTGTGTAAAGTCTATGGGCGTCTATGTGAGTCTGGAAAAAAGTAAGTCTGTAGGTCTCTATGTAGTCTATGGGTGTCTATGTGAGTCTCCATATTAAGTCTATACGTCTCGATGTAAGCCCATGTATTTGTGTCTATGTGTTGTGTAAATCTGTAGGTCTCTATGTAAGTCTATGGGTGTCAATGTAAGTCTAGCTACTGAGTCTATATGTCTCTATGTAAGTCCATGGGTGTCTATGTGAGTGGGTACTAAGTCGATATATCTCTATGTAAGTATATGGGTGTCTATGCGAGTCTGGGTACTTGTCTATGTATCTCTAAGTAAGTCTATGGGTGTCTATGTGAGTGGTTTATACGTCTATATGTCTCTATGTAAGTCCATGGGTGTCTATGTGAGTCTGTGTAGTTTCTAATTAAGTCTGTCTGTGGGTCTCTCTAGCAGATGTTTGTTTTACTCGGCACATTTTTACATGTGTGTGATTGTTTGTTTTAGTGGTAAGATGAGCAATAGCTAAGTCTGTGCCCTCGGGTTGCCTGGGTCGAACTTGGCGAACAGACAGATCCGACATTTCGCAACGGGCGCCCAAAAGTACCGCAGTGCCATCGCCCGCTTTGATCGGCCGCCGGTTGCTCGTTAAGCCATCGGACTGGCTTCACCCACTTACGTCGACACGGAAAACATTGCCACTGAATTTTGATTTAAAGCTTTCGTGACTGCAGGGATTCATATTTTTGGTTCTTTCGGTAAAGTCACGTAGAAGGGAAATAATAAAATAATAAAAATATAAAACAATAAAAATTCTCACGACGTTTCGACTGCAACACAAGCAATCATCATCAGGTCTATGGGTGTCTATTGCTTGTGTTGCAGTCGAAACGTCGTGAGAATTTTTATTGTTTAATATTTATATTATTTTATTATTTCCCTTCTACGTGACTTTACCGAAATAACCAAGAATATATTGCCACTGAAATTTAATTTTTGTTATGTTTGCTTATATTTTTTTTTACGGGGGGCGGGGGGGTGGAATTTCCCTCCGTTTTATCTCGAGAGCACACTCGGCATATTGCGACAAGACGACCGATCCGTTCGTATCTCTCGCAGAGCAGTGCAGGTCCTCGTGTTCTAAAACGAATGGGCCCACGCAAGCGGACATTGCAGAGCTACGTCTGAGATCCATTCAAGTGTCCTCCTTCTATGCCCACACACGGTTGAAGGCAGCGTATTCCCGCCCGCTCTGCACAGAAGAATAATGTATGTATGCTGAACTTCTTTTGCACCGTACGTAGCCAAACCTGCTAATCGGAGGTGCAGGGGAAGGACAGAAAACTAAACACGAAAAGCAGTTCTAAAGGAATCTAGATTTAAAAGTGCACGCTCCAGTAGCTTGCTACCATTGGAAGGAAGTGCGTTCCAGACGGCCGCAGAAGAGCAATCTGAACGGGCGCGATGCGGTGACCGCCGGCTTCGTTCGATGGTCAGCCAAAAAGCCGCTGCTGCTGCTGCTCTTGCGAGAATGACCACCGGAGTTCAGATGGGTTACGCGCCTTGACGAGAGCAGCGAGGCATTGCGGTTCATTTGTGGCAAGCACCGTCGTCGAACGAGAGTTTAAAAAAGAAACGATGGATTAATTTTAAAGCTGCGATTTTAGTCAAATTTTATGCGGAACCAAACGTAAGCTCTGCTTATCGTGTCGCCGCTTGGTGACCAGTCTGTCGTTTCTCTATTGATCCCCTCTTGTTATGGATATCTTTACGGGGGTCTTAGTTCCTTGTTTTGAATGCAAATTCTCTTCGGCCGGAACAAACGTGTCAAAAAGCAGAAACAAGCATTCCTTTAATCGTAGGCTTTAAAAACGAAACAACCTAAAACCATTCGTTTGCTCCTTCTATATAATTTGTTTTCCTTTAAATCGACCCCAACCTCCCCCCCCCCCCACGCACCCCTCGAGAAAGTAGAATTGAAACCTTGGCGAACAATGATAGTGAAACAAATGTAGGTCTTCTAAGTTCCACTTTTTAAAATGGATAATAAATCAATGCGGTGCTTAGATTACCGTGTTTAACTTTACAGGGACATGGTGTTCCATTAAATATTTACACGTGTATGTGTCTTTGTATATACAGGTACAGCCTTTGACCAGCGATGGCATAGTGGTTAATGAGCTGTGCGACAAACACCGGACTTACGATTCCCACTCTCATCCAATACCAGCGGCGTATATCGGAACCGGTCCTGGGCCTCCCCTAGGTCGACTTGGCCTCAAATGAGTAACCTGGTGCGGTGTGTAACATCGCCACTGGGGAGACAAAGGTGGCCGGGCGTGGTGCCGGCCACCCACTCTAGTGTGCCGTGCCGGCCTTCATAGGTGCTCGTTAACAGCACTTGCCCCAATAGTCTGTTG